GGTCCTGCTTGGCACAGAAACAGGGCTCGCAGGTGCTGCCTGAAGCTGGTCATTTTCCCTGCATAACTGCTGCTTTATGAACACCATAAACCTGCAAACGTGTGGCTTCCCTCTGGGGGATTTTTCTAGTCCTTCCAAAGAAAATCTTCTTTCGCTGCTTTCTATGTGTTGGTCCCGTGTGGTCTGTATTCCTGCTTTATCATTTAAGGACCCCCCAGAGCTAGGAGATAAACAGATGGGACAGACATTTTTTCCTTAGCACTTCTCTTACGTTCCTCACTCTCTTTTTTCTCTCCTGTCTTCCATGTACAAGGTCTGCTGAAACTCATTGTACTGTGAAGTTCACTGAAATTTGAATTTTATACTCATACACACAGACAAGGTGTTTTTCTGGGGTAAGCTGCCCATGATACATCTACTATTATTATCTATTTCTGACAATTATTCCTTTTATTACAAAATACCTACAAAATGGGAACATGACTGACATAATAAAAATGGGAAGCTTGAAATAAAAATTTACCTTCAGGGATTCCAGTACTATCATATCAACCATCATGAAAGCCTAAAACTACATTATGTAGTCTATTGGTAAAATTAAATTTTAGTTGCAGTGTGTTTGTCATGATTTCAGATTTCCTCTGCAAGCACCAAGGCTGTTTGAGTGTATTTCTAAGCCTCTCACTAAAATGTTGGGGAAAAGTCTCCAGTACCAAATGTACATACTTGAATAGTAAATTAACATGCCTGACAAATTGAAAGGATGATCTGTGATAAGGACAAGATAGGTTTCAGTCAGAAGTTGACTGAGTGGGAGGAAATCTTTCTTCAACATCTGTTTGGCTCGTTTGGATTAATCCTCTCCAATTATTCTGTACTGTTCCTCCAGGGAGGATGAACGAGTGGAGAAGTGTGTTCCAAAATCAAAGTGATTGATCTCATGCATGTAGGAGTTTGGAAGGTCAGCTCAGTGAAAGGAAGACTCATGAGAATATGACTGACTGAGTTAGATTTTGTGAGTACTGAGTGTGGAGGAAAAAATACATGTCAGGTCCTTCATCTTTCCTTGGCCACAGTAGGTGACACAGTCAGGGTAAGTGATGAAGTGAGGGAATATTCCTCCCATATCCTCCTCACTATCTCCAGGGCAGTTGCCATTAATAGGCCCATGGCAGCCAAACAGATCTCACAGCACTTGGCTGCCCACCTGTGTGTTTTGAATAGGTGGCTTTCTATACACTCACCCACCATCCTAGAGGTTATTGCTATCACTTCACGTCTTTATCATGCTTGTGCTTAAAGGGGCTGCTTATAGGGTTGATACATTTCAACTATGTGGACAGGAGACTCTGCAAATACACAGGACAACCCCTGATCTAGGGTTTATTGATGGTATTATTCCCCCCCCCAGTGAAAGGATCCAACTGGGAATCTCTGGAAATCTCACAGAGTACTCAGCTTAATGTACTTCTAATCTAAATTAACTGCTAATTGAACACAAAATTATATTATTTGCCTTTTGCTTCATAAGGAATCCAGAAGAGTTTAAGTAACCCATATTCTATAGTACTATACAACTTCAGTAATTTTTACATGAAGTCCTTGTCCAAAACTTTGTAATTTAGTCAGATGTGCAAGAGGTTTCTTCCACCTGTGTTGCAATTTCTGGTCAACAGAGTCCTTTGGTGAGTGAAGTGCTTTGTGGGTTCTCCAAACCAGCAGTTTTTCTAGCATGCCTTCCTTCACTGAAAATGGAAGACTGCTTGTATGAAACAGCCTCAGGGTCACATATTTGGAAATATCCACAAGCCATCAAGGTAGAGAAGCCATTTATGGATTCTGTCTGCCTTGAGTGTACTGTGGGAAGTTCACCACCACCTATGGCAAACGCCTACCACTGATGTGAATCATCATATCTGAAATTCCAGACCTCTCTGCATAAAGGAATTGGGACCCCCAGACAGCTGTTCAGGATAATCCAGGGGAGCACTGCAATGAATTGATGAGCCAAAACCCCTTCTAATCTCCAACTTCATTGTTTTGAACTCAGCAAAATGCTAAGGGTCTGATTTTGCGTGTATAAATCTGACAAGAATTGTAACAAGTTCTTAATGACTTTGTACTTACATATTCAGTCACTTGATTTAAGTTTTCAAAATCTGTCTAAATTCTTGGAGTGGTAATGAATTATGGTGAGAAATTATTTCTTTAAAATAGGGGAAATAACTATGTCTAAATGTATGAATGCCTGCAGGGTGATTTTTTCCTGCTTGGCTTCTAAGTTTTAGAGAATTATTTTCATTGAAAAAGTCACAGTACAATAGACTGGAAATTTTATAAGCATATCAAAGTCTTCGGTACTGGCAGCTATTCCATTTATTGAGCAAAACATAAAGATGTATTCAACTGTCTACTGCCATAGTTCTCAGAGAACTGGGAAATAGGAGCAATACATAATTAATCTTTTGCACTGCAGTTTAAAACAGCCTATACAATTTAATTTTTATTTTGTTTGTTGCTTTTCTCTCCCTTTTTTTCTTTAAAATATAAAATTGTACATTACCTAAATAAATGTAAAGTCTGTGTATAAGTGGGTTTTATCAGCTGGCAGGGTTATTGATATTTCACTACTGCAGGGCTTACAACCTGCAAAATGTTTTATCGTTCTATTTCAGCAAATCAAGGCAAGTTATTTCTGGAAACATGACTTTGTAGAGCAAAGCAGGAAAGTACTTCTCTGCTTCCACATTTGTGTTTTTAATTCTGATCTCCTGGTAGGTGAGGTTTGCTCTCCAAGGGGCCGGTCAGTGCTGACTCAAGTCAACAGACGGCTGCAGTGCTATGTGAACATTCCCTTTTTCCTAGTATTTCCAGTCCTTGCTGGCTGAAAAAAAGAGGAAGCAGTGACAGCTAGGATGACCATGTCAAGAGATTTGGAGCTTATGCATGTAGAGCTAAATCTGATTGCCAGCAAACCCACATAAAATAAATGAAGCCAGAGACTAAACATCTCTTTTACATAGTGCTGTGACAGCTGTGCAGAGAGCTGTGCTCGAAGAAAAAGGACTTTCTGAGAGTTAAATGGCACAGTGGATGAGATGAACAGTACTCACCTAATGGTATCCCCTGCATATTTGGAGATAAATCCCATGGATTGCAACTGAGAGCTGCTTTTCAGAGCTTAGCATCTCTGTGGTGGGAACAGGATTAAATCAAAGCATAATTGCCTTAGAGTTACTCTTCAGTTATTTTACAGTTTTTGCAAGAACTTTATGGAGGATGGGTGAAATCTGAGTCAATAGCTACTATGATAAAGCAAAGATATCACTCAGAACAAGATATATGTTTAAGAATAATATCTGAGCCAAGGGTATGTGGACTGTATTAATAAATATTGCTGATATTCTATCCTATATCCATTGCCTGGCTTCTTAATCCAGATCCATATTCTTATTGATTTTATAGAAGAGATAATTGGTTCTGTAATAAAGGGTAACAGCAGCAGCTCTTGCTGCCCAGCATTGCCAGCAAACAGCTGAGTAGGATCCGAGTTGGACCTCTCAGCAATAGAACAGCCAAAGCTGCCTGGGAAAGGTCAGGCAAGCACCAAATACAACCCCGAGCCTCACTGAAGTTGGCACTAAGAACAGCACAGGATTGTGATATGGGGTGAAAAGTTACTGTAGGTAGAGGAGGCTGTGAGTGGGTGGGAAAACTACATCCTAGAGCAAAAACAGAGGGAAGAATAAGCACAGGAGTAGTTCACTCTGCAAAGTAGAATGAGAATTTGATGCTGGGAAGAATTCTTATGTAAGTGTTCGTGTTTGCGTGTGTACGACTGTGTGGTAGGACAGAGGAAGCAAACAAAAAGCCAATACAGGCTATGGATAATGGAAACACCAATTTTAGATGTGCTCAACACATAAAACACATAAACCACTACAGTTAGAAATATAGTGCTTCTGTTCATTTGGTGCTTCTTTGTGCCTATAGAAGGCACTGTCTCCTGCCAGAAATGCTGACCTAAGATGGCAGGGGAAGGTAGAAATAAAACAGCTGGGGTGAAGAGGGAGGGGGAGACCAGGTGCACCCAACTTCCATCTCTGTTCAGCTGAATATATCAGTAGGATGCAATAGTGGCCAAATGCAAGTCAATGAACCTGACTATGGCAAAGTTAAATCAATCACACAGGCAGATAGCAGTGTATTTATGGGAACTATTTTATACATGGATCTTACGGTGATTTAATTATTGCTCCAGCTTTAGGGACCAGTCACTCAGAAGGGAACATTGCTGCTGCAGAATGCAGTAGTTTCTATAACAAGCTATCATTTTTCCTTTTAATTCTGTCTGAGAAACTCATCTTTAGTCAACATTTGAGTAGGAAAACAGCTGTGGTAACTGTGTGGTTTATGTTGGCAAGCAGTTACTTCTTAATGCTGATGAGGGTAGAGGTTAAAATCGAAACATCTATTCAAGTTCCAGCCATCTATTACGAGGCAGAATTTATTGCTCCTATATACTGTGAAATGTGGCTTGGCAGAAATTACAAAAAAAAATAAAGATCAAGAACTACCGTAAAGATGTGCTAACTCTCCTATAAGGAGAGAAGTATCATTTGTGGAAAATACACCTACCGGAAATGTTGTGAAACGAGTCACCACTACAAGAAGGCATAGTAAAATTGGTAAAAAAGTTACTTAAGCTGCCAGTTATAAAACAGCTCCCTTCTACCTACAACTGTCTACACCAGAAATGTCATGTCAGGAAAGAAATCCCTAGGGAACGATACTTTATCATAAAGGACCAAAAGAAATGGCAGAGGAAGTGCTCATGAGGAAAGGGCTCCTTTCAGTTGTGCTTATCATATGCCTCTGCTATGAAAAAATCAAACCATTTGATTTTTGTAATTGGTCATGCTGAGCAGAGAGAGATGCACTTTTAGGAAGAAGGGGGAGAAGCATCCTGCATTCCCACGGTACCTGTGGGGTACGTGCTGATGGCATTTGAGGAGGAGGAACTGTCCAGATTATGCTCCATGGTTCTCTTCCCCACAAGTGGCTCTGTACCTGAAAAAGCCTTAAGAGAATGAAAAACCTCAAGTTAGGAAGAAGGTTAACAAAGCCATCCTAACACTCACTGTCACAACTTCCTAAAGTGCAAACGCTATTGTCTTTTTTAAATCATTATACGCCTTGTTATGCACAGGATCCCTGCATCAATCTTCTCTTGGGTCAATGTGTGCTCCCAAAAGCAAGTCAACCAGGACACTGAAACTAAAGTGATCTTTCTCATCACTAAATTTATATTCTGTTTTAAGTGTCACCATTTATATTTTTTCTTAATTCGGTGAGTGAGAATTAGAGTTTCACAGCCATTAATAAACTTTAATTCTACTCATGTGAGAAAAGAGGCTCCTATTAGTCTCATGGTTTTTTTAAAATAGGACAACAGAGGCTGAGAGAGACATTGATTAGATATCAGCTTTAGTTTTCAGATGACACTCATACCCTGACTTTTCAAGAAACTTGGCATTATTAAGTCCTTTGTGTGTAGGTCCGCAGAGCATCATGAGGTAGCACTTCTCAGAAGGTCAGTTGGTCCAGGGTTAGAAATGCAGCTGCACACTGCTGTCAGCATGGTACTTTAACATTTAAGGTATGTATCCCACTGATTTCACCGTACATCAATATTACAATTATGCATCCCACGAACTCCAGTTGCAAAAGTGAATGCTCAGCACTTTGCAAAGCTAATATCCACACTGTAAGCCAACCAAGCAGAAAATGAGGAGGACTCCAATGGTCAATGCTTGTAAAAATGCTCCTTTGAGTAATTCCCCTAACATCACACAGAAACACTTAGGATGGATATTGTTCTTTCCCTTCCTGAAGTCTGGTCTGTTTATTATATTCCTTTAAACAGTTGCAGAAAGATTGCCCAGAATTTCGTAGACATAAATGTATATCACTGTTACTCAGAGAAGATCTATTCTGCACAACTTAAAGGGAAAACTACCTATGGAAAATGGTTCTGTCTGAGTAATTTAAAGAAGTGATGAAACATATGGACAATATGTGAATAAAGGTTGCATGAGCAAACTTAATTGGAGTATTCTCTTACTTCTCCAGCTGTTTTCAAACCTTGGATGAGATAATTTCCCTTTCATTCTCCCTTTAATCCCCTCATCTCCCTGGGGTATTTAATAAGGGCAGAATGTGCTGACACCCACCCATGTCTTCCTCTAAGCTTACATATGATCAGCAGACAGCCACCTTGATCATGCCCTTACCTTCTAGTGTAACACCAGTGAAACACTGTCTTGGTGTGGACTCTCCCAGGTGTTGGGTCATGGATGAGGGCAGCTTGGTTCTCACAGTCATCACTGCTGTCTCCTTTTAATACTCATTCACCCTGCATGCCAGCTAACTGGGAAAAGCTTGACGCCCTGTCAGTTTGTTTACTTCATATTTGGAATATTTACTGATGTTGGAAGTCCTGCTTTTTTGAGGATAGCAAACATCAAACAGCAGTGGCCTTGAAAATGCATAAGATTTTCTTGTGTGTTAAGACCCACCTCTAAGGCAATGTAACTGAGATTCCTATTAATAAATCCTTTATGGTGTATTAGAGTGGAATGACACTGAATGAGTAATGTATATGTGAGGGAGATTTATTTTAGAACAATTTGGTTGCAACAGAAAGGAGATATGTGGCTATTTTGCTTCTTTTCTATAATAGTGTAAAAATGTCATGAAGCAAATATATAAGAAAGAAAGATAAAGAAAGAGTAAGAGAAGATAGTGGAGAGGAAGGATAGTACCACCTGTGGATCTGGAGAAAAGACTTGATTGTTGCAATTTTGATGTCCTTGATCAGAGTAATGGTTGGAGTCTTGATCTGTTGGGGGTGGGGGTCCATGAAACAGAGAGTTTGTCAGATTATATGCATTAAAAATAGCATGGGAACTTCTAGATCCCTCCCTGGGAATGAGATTCTTCACGTCTTGTGCAACACTATGGGGCACACACAGTCTTCTGATGGAGAGTTCCCTGAAAAAGAGTTGGAGGGTGCTTTGGGGTCCTTGGTGGTCCATAGACCCCTCTAAAGATACGACCACCAGATGCAGAAGTTAATAACAGTTTGAGTTCTTTGGATTGAAAATCAAGCCAGGCTTGATTTTTATTTAAAAGGAATCTAATTTTTAACCACAGTGCAGTGGTAACTTTTTAAAATAGATACAAATAAGTAACTTATAAGACACGCTGTTGTTCCGCATTTGTCAGATTCTGTGGCTTCAGTTAATCTGGGAGGAATGTATTCAAGAAAGCTGCTGTAAAATTCAGTACAGGAAGCAAGCAGAGTTCAATCTGTAAAGAAGTTATGAAGGCTTTACTGACCACTACACAAAATCTTTAAATGAAGGCTTTTGGGTTTGATTTTTAGGTTTTGGGCTTCTGTTGTTAAAGAAAGCTATGAAAACAAGCTGTCGTGGGTAAAACAAAATCCATGTTAATTAGAAATATTCATAAGTTTTCACAGTAGTAGTAAAAAATCCTCCAAAACTTGAACAGGACTATTTTTTTTCCTAAATCACAGCTGATCTCATTTTGTGAAAATGTTACAAATCTTGCACTTGGAGAAGTATCATGGCCTGAGAATTTCCAGATGTTTTCTTGGTCTTCATCAGTTACTTCCGAAATACAGAAATGACTTGTTTACTAGGTTGCAAAGCTCTTTTTGTCTGTGCTGTGTACATCTCTAGCATTTACTGACACAATACCAGCAGGCATTACAAAAATTGGACTCAAGGAATTGCAATAGGACAAAGAGATTGCAGGATTCTGGGGAATTTCAGCATTTCTTTTCTGAAGCAGACTGGCAGGTGATTTCTGGCCCCTGCTCTATCAAGACAAAAAGCATGGACACTGTTGATGCTCCACAGATTTGAGCTTTCCAGAACTCATGTGGCTCTATAGATTTATTACCTCTTGCTATCAATAGAGCATTGCTATTGAATTCCCACTTGGTTGAGCCACAGGGAACAATAAGTTTAGCCCCAGGAAGATTTTTCTAGGGCTTGCTTTTTGGGGTTGGTTTCTGGAGGAGTGCAAGGAATTGCCACCTGTCAAAGTCTGTGAGGGTGTGAAAAAGCCTGCTGAGAGGTGGAGCACAGCAGCTGTGTCAGGCCAGAGAGCACCACTGAAATGTGGCTGATTTGTATCTTGCTAGAACTGGAAGCCTTTTTAGGAAGAATTGTATTGCAGGGAATGGGATTACAACCAGGAAGGAAATTCTGAACAAATCTCTTCTGATGCAATGGAATCTTTAATGAACAGGGTAATTAGCACTTTAGGCTGACATTCAGTCAAAAAGTTTATTTTCACCTCAGTGGCCCCTAGAAAGAGGTACTGGAAGTGACCTAGAAGAATCAGGGATTTCCACTAAATCGTTACTTCTTGTGGCACTTTGAGAGGACACAGGTAAGCCTAAATTTTGCCTACTCTGCATTTGAGGTTTAGTACTACGCTCTGGTAGGGTTAAAGACTAGCAAAAAGGTTGAGCTATTTCTGCTGTAATGTTTTTTCTAAATATGCACAGAAGAAACTTGGATTTAAAAAACCCAATCCAGCTAAAAGGAAATGATGAACTATACCAAAAGATAAGTAATTGTTTCATCGACTTTAAAAAATGAGGAAGGTGGAGATTTGCCTGCTCTAGGAATCAGATTACCAAAGCAGTAAAATGAGGAATTAGGAACAGAATAGATAAGAGTTGAAGAGACTATTAAAAGATTACAGAGTCTAGAAACTGATATAATAGAACAATGACTACTCAACCTATATCTCACACTCCTAAAGCAAACTAGGAAAATGTGCAACAAACCTTTCATGGATGTATGAAGTATTAGGCTACTGGTTCTGAAAAAAATATTAATCTGATTGAAAACACTTTGCATTCCAAGAATAAAAATTCTAAATATAATCTTTAGGCTATGAATGAGAGAATTTTGGATACTTCAAGAAAACAAATGTACTCACAATGCCCAATGGACAAGAACAATAATTAGTCATTCATATATGTGTGTACACATGTTCATATTCACAAATAAATGTGTGCTTTTTTTTTTGAAGCCTTCAAAAAATAATTAATACTAAGCCTTAATTAAAAAAAAATCATTCTCTAAATTTTATTAGGAACTCTGCGACACATAATATTTTTCTTAAAGTCCAGGTTAAGGAGTCAAATGGTTGCATAAAATAAGAGCAGAAAGGGAAGAAAAAAGGACTCTAACCCTCTTGGATATAAGCAAAAAGTTGAAAGCATGAAAGGAATGCAGAGTAAAAGCTCAGAATGTCAAAATGATCCTCCTTAAATAAAAATATCTCATCACTTCAGTTCTAATATGATTATTTTTGCAGGGCTTGCCCTACTTTTTTTTTAAACTTTTAGGATTAGTGATAGTGCAATCTGTTCACCCCTAGAGCCATTTTGATGACATAAAATGCAAATGAGATTAAAGTGCTTTTGTGTGTGCCTCTCTGTGACCCACTGAGGGTTTGATAGAGTGGTAACTGTTTCGTTTCTGCTCTAGACCTGGCTTTACAGGTACTTGTTTCTCCTAAAGAGGAGGAACACAAAAAAAGAGGAGGTTGACCCATCTTTCTGACTGGAGGGCTTTAGGAAACATCACTGTCTTCTGGTACAGTATCTGTTGTCACACTGGCAGTAACCACAGACAATCTAAATCCACCACATTCTCTTTAGGTACTGACTAAAATATAGTTATTAAAGTAAAATTTTTGTGTTTTAGTCCTTCAGGATATGGCATTTATTTACCTGGTAAATGTTCTGCTTTTGTGCAGTTTTGGTATTTCCACCCTGTTTTTCCAAAGGGATTCAAGGGAGGATTTTGAGACATCCCTGATGACAAGCAGATCTGGGGCACCAGCACTGCAGGTCATGTCCATAGTCATGATTGTATCTTTTAGTGGCAATGCTATTCATAAGCAGTACAACATCAGCACAGAACATGGAGTCATAGAATATCCCAAGTTGGAAGGGACCCACAAGGATCATCAAAGCCCTACTGTTGGTCCTGCACAGGACAGCCCCAAGAATCAGACCATGTCTGGCACTTTTGGGAGGATCTTTTTTAAAAAAGAGTCTATTTTATTAGTGCTTATTAAAAAATAACCCAGTCTGAGATCCCAATTTGCAGAATGAATAAAACATTTATTGGCATAAATTAATGATACGTATTTGTTATTGATTTCTCTCTGATGTATCGAGTAGGGCTAGCCTGCTCATTCCTCCTAGCTAAAGAGCTCTGCATGTGTGGTTTTTTTGTTTTGTTTCATTTTGTTTTGTTTGGGTTGTTGTTTTTAAATTTTGTTTTGTTTGTTTGTTTGTTTCTTTGTTTGCTTTTGTGGGACATCACAATGGAATTACTGAAGTGAGGTAAAATAGCTTGCAAACGTATCTTCACAAAGCTATACCCCTAGACCTTGTGTGTCTCATCATTAAGTCCTTGTTTAGTGTCTCCATATTCCTTGGAATTGCTCAATTGCCATGACAATCATGCCTGATTAAGAACCACTCAAATGAAAACTTTCTGTCACATATTAACAATGGGATACGCTAAAAATATTTAAATGGTATTACCTAAAAACACTCTGCATGATAGAATTGGGCAAAAATGAATTCTTTGGTTGTTTGATGAATCGAAAAGTCTTGCTAAAAAAATAACCTGTAATAAAAAATATTTTATTGAATATTTTGAATATTTTTACTATTAAATATTTTTATTGAATATACTGAATATTTTTCTATTTCTGCAATAAAAATAGAATTGGAAATTTCAGCATGAATAAAAATTTTGAATATAGTAAACCTGAATATTTCTTAAAAACACATGAAATGAATAACTTTTCAGAGGTTACCCTTCCCCTCCTATGAACATTCTGACAAATGAACCCAAACTTCAGAAAATAAAATTGCCACCAGATCTGCCTTTTTAATTTTCATAAATATTTCTCCAGATATTTCAGCCGTAGTTCCTGTTGCAAAAAAAGTCTATTTTTGATCATCAGATTGTGTTTCCCCAACATGAAATGCACAGAAGTTCATCTTTATTTACAGGCCAGGTAAAGTTCAGGACTTATGATGGAGCATGTCTTGTGGAACTGGTCCTGAGTTCCCATTTCTTTGTGCAATGCAAAAATATCTACCAGGATTGGAGACTTTCCAAACAGTTCTAACTATTATAGTAAAGCCTTACCTATAAAAGGTAGAAGAAGGCCAGGAATAATTAAAGACTTTAAGAAAGAAGAGAAGGAAATCTTAAAATCAATTGAAATGTTAAGGAATCCTGCAAATATGAAATCTGCTTAACTGCATGGAGCTCATTTCATCTGATATACTGGTGAGGTGAAATGCACACTGCTTACAGAAAGCCCTGTTACTTTACTTGCTACTGCACTGGGGAGGGGGCAAGGAGTGGGTGCAGAGAGCTCTTAAATAGAGTATCTTAATGGATCAGGCTTTAATTGCTAAGCCCCTGGGCTAAAACATCGTTTTTGAAGCTGACACCTCCGGATGCTGAATAAGCAAAGCTTTCCAGCAGGCCTGCATTGCAGCACAAAGCCTGGAAATGTATTAGAATCTCTACAGAGTTTCTATAAGACATTCTTCTGGGAATATACAGATCTTGAATCCCCTCCCCAGAGGGTCTCTTCATTACAGGCTGTACCAGTAACAGACATCTTAGATGCTGAAAATCATCAGATTACCCTCCCTGTCTCTGTGGTGAATGACTGCTTAAGTTCTAGCCATGTACTTTCTGTCCAAAAATGTACTTAATCCTTAACCCCCTTTCCTTAACTCAGGAAAATATTTTAGGCTTGTTACTCAACAAGACAGCTTAGTGCTTCCTTCACTTTAATGCATTGTTTTTATTAATAATCTGCATGTGAATTGCATGCTAAGAAGAGAGTGAGGCTTCAACATCTGCTTAGGGTTGGTCATGTCTGCAGCCCTAACCTGAGCTCATTGAAGAGAATGGATATGCCCTGGTTTGTTGGAAAAGGTGTAGAGCTGTGATGTTGTACCACTTGTGGAGCTGACCTAGTAAACCACCGTATGGGCCTATGGGCTCACGTCCCAACTCATATCCCCCACTCTACAGGACAAGGGCACTGGAGCTGTGCTAGACACAACTCACTTGGGTTTGGTAATATCAGCTGAAGTTGGGTGAAATTCTAATTACAGCCTGTTCCCCAAGCATGGTTGATGTTATTTTCCATAGCCTCCTGCTCCCACTCTCCCTCCCCTGCCTGCTGAGCTCAGTATGGGCCTTCCACAGACAGCGCCAAGCTGAGAGAGAGGGACTCACCTGAATATCTCATCTAAATCTACTCTCAATTTGAAGCCATTCCCCCTTGTCTTGTCATGACAGGACTCTGTAAATAGTCTCTCTCCATGTTTCTTGTTGGCTCCCTTCAGATATGGAAGGCCACAATTAGGTCACCCCAAAGCCTTCTCTTTTCCAGCTGAACAACCCCAACTGTTTCAGCTTTTCCTCATAAAAAGGTGCTTCAACCCTCTGATCATCTTTGTGTCCCTTCCCTGGACTCACTCCAACAAGTCCACGTCCTTCCTGTGCTAGGGATCCCAGTCCCCAGTTCCAAAGGAAGGAAGGTCTCACTGACAGGTGTGTTCTCACATTTAATAACCTAAAAATCGCACTGTACCTAATTTAGCCAAAAGAGGGATTTAGGGGACAGGATTGCTCACCATTTAATAGGTTAGGAAGTAAAGGGAAAGTGTTGGAAAAACAAGGGCAACGACAGAACCAAGAGAAGGATGGAGATGAGGTGTTTCTCTGGCAGTGCACTGAAGAGATGAAGCCCTGGGGACATGAAGCAAGTCCCAAGTGGCTGCAGCAGAGAAAAAGGGCTAAGAGATTTTGAAACAGTTTGATCCCTTTCTGGGAGAAGCTGTACAGCTTAGCAAACACAGGGTGAGCAGGTGTCCTATAACCATTTTAAAGGAAAAAGCAACACTACCTCCCCATGGCTGTCCACTCTTACATTTTAATACAATATAATACACTGAAAAGCATCCAGTTATAGCATAGGGGTTCCACCTCTCCAAACATGCTTGTTGTTTTTTTTTCTAATTCCTAATTAATTTTATTAGATGTTACAGCCTTATCAAAATGCAAATCAAAGAATGAAGCCAGGCTTTACTGCTCCTCCAGTGAATTCTTACTGTAAATAATTTCTTCATTGATAATTAATTTTCAGTAGCCATTCTTTGGCATCATGGCATTACTAATTAAAAAAATGCAAATGCTAATACTGGTATGTTATTCTGTACTACTTAAACATTAAGACAATTTTTTTTCTGTGAAAACACTACAGCACTAAACCCTATATGGATGTTGTAATGGTAAATATAAAAGATAGACAAGAAAGGATACAGACTGGTTTTGCCCATAGTTATATTAAAACTTCACAATAAATCTTGAAAAGTAAGCCCAAACTCCTGTGAATGTAATACACTGACTTTGCAAGTGATTTAATTTGGGATAAATTCTGCCCTGCTGTAGAGCACTACTGAAAAGAGACTTGGTAAGAGCACAGGAAGGAACTGGAACAGTTTCTCTGAAACACTCATCAGGCAAGAATGAGGAGCAAGGGCTTCAAGCCACTGGTAGAGGTATCAAAACTAATAATTTCTTATTCTCATCTTAGAAAAAACCAACAACACTTCAACATCTCATCAAAAACCAACCTGGATATTTTCAAAATATTCTAGCTTTAGCCAGTGTCTTAACTTCTCTTCTCATGCTTTTCTTTCTGTTTTGTTACACAAAACAAAATAAAATACTCTTCTAGGAAGAAGGCAAATCTGCTGTCAGCACTGACACTTATTTATTTTAAATTTTGACAGACTTGATGCAAGTGGGCCCAATACATCACAAAGTTATCCGACATCATTTCTTCAAAGGCCTATTAAGGTGATATAGCTCAAAATAATTATACATTTAGGAATATGCTGAATCTAACTTTGCCAAACATCACAATCAAATAGAGAACCATAACAGACTCTTTAATACAGCAATAAACCCAATCCCCAGAGAGAGGGATCCAGAAGTTCTTTCCTTCTTTCAGTCTTAATGAGTGAGACAGAAGTTGTGATTTTCCTGTTTTTGGTCATTGTTAGGTGCTTTGCAAAAATCCCATCTCCTTCTATACAGGAAAACTGTGTCTCAAAATTATTTATTTAGTGTCAGCACCTCAGGTTATAGAAAAGGCATTGTACAAGGTTTATGTTCAGAAGACCAGAAACTGAGACCTTCATGTGAGAAAACTCAGGCTATAACAAATAACTGTGTTTGTGAACACCAGATGCCGTGGACTAAAAAATACTGTGGGTTCATTGGTGTAATAACTAATTTGGGTACCTGAGCTGCAAGGTCCTGTTCCTTGCTCTCACACTGGTGTCCTTCCTGGGCTTAAAGAGACTTTAATCTCAAAGAGGTTGTCTCTATGATGTACCTTTATTTTTACATCTGTGCTGTAACGTGGCTATGACGGCTGCCTTTGTAAAGCATTTTGACATCTAATGGTACAGAAAGAGGTGACTTGGTTGGGCTTACCAGTTATTAATGCTGTTCTGTACCTTCAAGATGCAACTGTGGAGCACAGAAATAACAGAGGAAGCTTCTGGTCCTTTTGGGCAAGAATGGAAGAACGCAGTCCACAGCAGTTGCTCTCTATAACAGAATTAAAGACTCAAGCACAGAGTGTTTATCTTGTTCCCATTACTATCAATACAGCAGCAATGTGGAAATAATACTTGTATTTTTATCTCCAGATAATGCCTTGAACGTTTGCTCCAGCCTTTCATTGGAGGCAGAATGCATCAGGGACTTCATTGCCAGCCCTGTTTTTTCTTAAGAAGCATTAAGGGGAGGTGATGAGGAGCAGAGAGGTTTCTGATGGGCCACTGGGGAAAGGAGTTACTGAGTGAAAATGTCAAGGTAGAAATTCTTGGCACAGTAATCAAGACAGGCTCTCAGGACTTTTTAAAATATGTCTTTAAATCTACTTACAGTCTGGCTGAAACCAGATTTACAGTCTATTTTTGCAGCTGCCAGTCTCCACTTAGGAGAGCTTTAGCGCTGGATATGGATAGTGTACTTCAAAAGGTAGACAGAAATCTTTGAAGTGCACACAGATAGACTGATGTGGAGGGTTACTCGAAAGTATAGGTTTCCTCTGTCAACAAAGGTATTTAGAAATGTTAGGATCCCAAAGGTGTGCAGGATTGCATCTGTCTAGGTGGACAAAGCCTAGATTTTACAATCAAATGGGTTTATGTATTAGAAATTTCATTTTTATAGTTGCCTTGTTTTGTATGTGTATAGGTAAGGGACAGAAGCCACATATTTATATTGGGATATTTTTCCATGTAAAACTTTGTTAACAATATCCTTGAACTTATGGGAACACACTTGGAAAATATCTGTAAGGACCAACTCCTGAATCAGCATAAATCAGTTGTGGTCAGTAAAGAGCCTTGTTTAAACTGAGATTTTAAAAATGGGCAAAATCTGGCATTCCATTACCTTCTTTGGAATAACTTTTTAGAATGTTTGTAGCATTTATCAAAGTCTGCACATTGAACCTAAAATTCTCAATGAAGTAGATTACTTTGTAAAATATTTATGTAAGATGATCCATCTGAAAAGGAAAAAAAATCCTATTCATACTATCAATTGACAAAACCCACTTCCTTCATTTATAGAGTGGTGGGTTTTTTCACGTAGGTCAAATAACTATCACAAAAATGAATTCAGGTACAAGCAAATCCCCTTGCCTATAACAATTACAGGTAAAATTTAATTTCAGGTGAGTTTACCTAGAGATGTGTGGAGAGTTAGTAGAAGGCAGCTAACTGAATACATTAGAACACTGTTGATACTGTAGAACATTTCTACACTCTTGGCTATTTTACTTCTACTAAAAATGAGAATTTGAAATAAAAAGGGAATAGCTACAGTATAAGTACAAAAGAGCATTTAAAAAAGTACATTTTCAGTTGCATTTTTCATTTTTTGCCATAACTGTAGCACAATGTTTAATATATGAGTTTGAAAAAAAAAGGCAAGAAAATTTCTTTTTTAAATTAAGACAGAAAAAAAATCTATGCTCAAACCTAGCAGAATTTTTCCTGATGACAGTAACCGATTCTGTTAACATGCACAAAATAAATGCAAGAAAAAACAACTCTAGAGAATGAATTTTCCACATATAGTTCCACTGTTTCTCTTGGTTGGAGTACCACTGGTGCACTGCCTGCCTAAGCAAAGAGTTTAGGATTATTAATGACTTTCAGAGGTATTACTTGCAGACTGCTTAAATCTCCCATATCTCATATTAGTGCCTTACATGTTGGGTTATGGCATATTCTGGGATCTTTCTTTCCGTTTATTGTAGGCCTGCAGAAGGTTTATTGAAAAGAGGTGTAATTTGGACAAACAGGTTTTGAAATTATTTCACCCTCCTTAGGTGCAATATGGTATTTTATTAGGTGATTTACTAAGAATCTACATATATAAACAGTTTAAATTTTGTTTTGGTGTAAGCCTGCTGTTAACTGTCCTACTGACCTACAGCTACAGTGAAAATTTTTTACTGTGAGAATGCCACATTTACTCATAACCAGCAGTTCATAAAAACAATATTTGAGTAAGTGTGCCTATAATGCTAGAAAAGAGGCTTTTTACTTTTACTCCAAAATGTGGCATTCAAAAGGAAAAACACTTTGACCCTTAAAATTATCTCACATGTTGTTAAAGGAAGCATTACTAGTAGTCTTCTGGCTTTATTCCCTGGATTAAGAAAAGGTAGATAAGTTACTTATGTAGAAAATAAACTTGTGGATTCTCCATTATTTGCTAAAATCTACGATAAATGAACTTTGAATAACACTGGCTGGTGTTGAGCCTGTAGTATTGACATGATTTTAGAAAGGAAGCAAACATATTGGAGGTGTTTTTTTTTTCTTACAGCCAACCACTTTTTGCTTCCCACATAACAAGACAAGAGAAAAAGAAGTGTAAGGAAACTCATACACCCGGAGCTAGATCAACCAAACCAGGAGGACAGTTCTGCACCAGTTTGCTGGGCCAAAGCTGACCTTAAAACTGGAGTGGCTGGCACTGCTGGGCATCTGCCCCGTTTGAGGAATCTTCGAGCAGTTGCCGCAGCAGTTTGTCCTCCTCCTTCCCCTGCCATCAGCACAGGGGCCAGTGGCCAGAGCCACTTTACTCCTGGCTGCTCTCCAGCTGCTAGACCAGCTGGCCCCTTGAGGCTGCTGGCAATCAGTGAAAATCAAATCATCCCTGTGCTGTGAACTGGGGCTGGAGTGAACTGATGCTGGGAAAGCACAGAGTTGGTATATTGTTCCTTCTTGGCCAGGGACATAGATCAGCATTTTCAGACAACTGCTTTCTGCCTCAAGAGGTGCTTCAGTCTTCTTTAGTGCTTTAGAAACTTCACATTTAGAAACACATGTTTAGTCTTATTAGAATGAAACTGGAGAGATTAAAAGCTTGTAAGAGAAATCAGGTCAAAGTTTCATGTAGTTTGATTCCAGTAAAATTATTCTGAATCAAAATTTAATCTAAGGAGAAAAAAAGACAGCAATGTTTATGTGGCAGGATGAAACGCTTTCTGGAATAAGTTTTGTAGTGGGAAACAGAGGAGAATGTGGCCATGCATAGGCATCTCCTTGTTCTAGTGCTGGTCAAGTTTGGTTTTTTTTTCACACAAACAACAATAGAGTAGATATGTGTCCTAGTGTCAGGCCATATATACAGGACTTTGACATAAAGCCAATTCTGATCTGACTTTCACTTACCTGGAAAGTCTATCAGAGATCCAGTGCAGTGGCAGAGCTGATCACAACATGCTTAATAGGCAGAAATTCCAGCCCTGCCTCCCTGTCTCCCAGAGCGCTTGACAGATGAGAGAGTACTCGATTCCTTTTGCCTCTTGTGTGGCTTTTTTCCCCCTGCCATACCTAAAGAATAGGGAAAGAGAAAAACAGTGTTTTGTATCAGTCTTCTAGCATCATCCATTCCTGTTACACTGAGACCCTCTGCTGACTCTGCTCTGTGGCATCTTTTGTTGGTTCCCTGCCCTATCTACGTAAATCTAAGTCAACGTTTCCAGAGAAAATGCTTAATAACTTCAAAGAGTTATTGCTTCTGGCTTTGTCTGTGCACAGTACAGCAGAGTGAATAATAAAGAACAGACACAGAATGACCCAACCCCAGTATTTGTATCAATGACTATAAAGCCATGCTTGTCCAAAAAAATGCAGTTTCTTTGGCAAACATGCTGATGTTAGTAATACATGTGAATATTAAAATCCCCAGAGAGACAGGGCACTTTCTAAGGAACAGTTTTCCACATCAGGTTTTCAGGTGGTGAGAACCTGGTGCTTTGCCTCATGAATGATCTGAAAGTACAAATTCACTGTGAATTGATTTAGTGGTCTATCAGCAAATAAAACCAGAGCAACACCAGTTTCACTGCACCTCCACAATTTGTTTCACTTCTTTCCATCTGTTGAGCTTCCCATGCATTGCTTCCCTGGCCCTTGCTGCTATGAGACTTATCTTTAGCTTCCCCAATTCTTCCTCTCTAGTTGAAGGTTTCCCAGCTGAGGCAAGCAGGTATTCCACACATGATGATTCCACACATTCCACATGTATTTTTGAGGATTGATTGGTGTGATAAAGTATTGCAATTTGAAACAGTCATTTCTTTCTAACTGGTGAAGTTCAGAGGGAATCACAGGCACTTCCCATCTGCTTGCATTCCTCCAGAAACAGGCTGTCTTTACGAGACTGGTTAGATTTCTATAGAAGGGATAACAGTAAGGCCCTACAACCGAGATGCCCTGCACAGAAGCAGTAGCACATGCCCCTGGGATTTCCCAAATGGGGAATTCTTGTTAAGATAATAACAACACAGTCCTGTGTATCTTGCCTAGACAGATCTAATGCCTGGGCATGCTGACTTCTGCTGAGTGCCTCAGTGAGCGAGAGGGGTCCTCTGCAATGCGTGTAAGTACCTGAAGGGAGAGTGTCAGGGCATGGACCAGGCTCTGCTCAGTGGTGCCAAGCGATAGGACAAGAGGCAATGGGCAGAAACTGATGCACAGGAAGTTCCACCTGAACATGGGGAAGAACTTTTTTACTGTGCAGGTGACCACACACCAGAACAGGTTGCCCAGAGAGGGTGTGGAGTCTCCCTCACTGGAGATATTCCAGAACCATCTGGTCACAACCCTGTGCAACGTGCTCTGGGATGACCCTGCTTGAGCAGGGAGGTTGGACCACTGTGGGCCCTTCCAACCTGGTCCAACCTGTGATTCCATGGTTCTGTGATTTTGTGATCATCAGAGCAGGTCACTGGGACATCTATACTTTGTGCACAGACTCTATGTTTTCAATTGTATCCTGAGTTTGAAAAAACAAAGGGCTTGATTCTCTCCTCCAAAAGCTCCCATTACACACATGATAGCTCAGTGACCTTTCCCAAGGTTTCCCCAGTTTCTTCTCCATCCACTGACAGCTAAATTCCCAAATGTTTTCTATTTATCTGCTATCCTCCAATACTGTCCATGCTGTTGTAGCAACCAGTGCCACCTCTTCTGATCTGAGCCACAAGGCTCTCATTCTAACCATTTGCTGCTGATTTAGAAGTTGGCCTTTGTGCAAGCACTGATGATAGCTTTGCCACTTGCATCATGTTTTATGCATAGTACAACTGTCACAATGTACCTCGTTGCAATGAAGCAAATGTCATTGCCACAGAATTCAGCCTTTTTTTAATCCCTTTCAGAGACTGCTGCTCCTGTTAATATGCTTATTATAAATGGAATTAAAACACTCAGAGCTGAAACGGGGCCTTGGTAGTTCTGCAGAAATGGGGAAGTTCTCCCTGTCTCAGCATTTAGACAGAGACCAAGTAGAAATACTGTATTTGGATGGGAATCCTAATCAGTTGCTTGTACAATCCAATAGCCTTAATACCTGTCTGCTGTTCAGCATGACATCCACCTTATTCACAGATGCATTGCATTGAGAATCTCCCAAAAGTTGGGTTGGAGGCTTGAAAAAGGGAGAGAAAGGGAGAACCCTCAGCTTCGTTACCTCTGCCTCCCACAGAAAATTCAGCATAAACATTACATTTGGACTGCCTTGCATTGACTGCTGATTGATTGCTAAATTCACTACTGGCATCTCTACCTAAACACATGCAGGGAAGACTCTGGCCCTCTATTTTGAAGGCTCGCCCAACTGTGCATGCATAAAATTGGAACAGCAGCAGTAATTTGGCTTCCTCTGGCTCTTTCAGTTTCTTTCTGGGTAAACCTCAACTGCCTCTTAGAGAGATTTGCTGCTGCTAATTTTTTTTAACAGACCATCTGTCTCATTTTGTATTCTAGAGCATTCTTCCCAATTTCTTGTCATGTTTCCAGCAGAGGAAGAAGTTAGTTGGACTGCTCGTGCTGTAGGTAGTTAGCATACTGCTGTTCTGTTGCTGGTGCAGCAGAAAAGGGAAAGGGCCACCCTTTCAACATTCCCTTTCTCTGGGAAGGAAATCCTTCAGTCCACTTACCAGGGAAACATCTTCACAGCTCTGCCAACAAGTTCACTTATACTGAAGACATTACAAACCACTCCTGTAAAGCCTCAGGAGCAGACTGGCATTAGCACAAGTAGAAGAAAGGAGACACAGACTTTTTTTAACCTCCAAGGAGAGTATAACTCTTACTGTTGTGATGCCCAATTAGTTGGACCACATCAAGAACAACATTTTTGCTGCAGATCTTTTATAATCACAGAACTGTGGAATGGCCTAGGTTCAAAGGGACCTTAAAGATCATCTCATTCCAACCCTGCTGCAGGGTTGGACAGGCACACCTTCCACTGGACCAGGATGCTCAGAGCTCCATCCAACCTGGCCTTAAACATTTCCAGGGTGGAGAAATGCTCTCTCTCCAGCTTCTCTGGAAAACCTGTTCCGGTGCCTCATCACCCTTATGGGGAAGATTTTGTTCCTACTATGTAATCTAAACCTACTCTCTGTCAATTTGAAGCCATTCCCTCTTGTTCTGTCACTACATGCCCTAGTAAATAGTCTCTCTCCATCTTGTTGGCTCCCTCCAGGTACTGGAAGGCCAGAGTTAGGTCACCCTGAAGCCTTCCCTTTTCCAGGCTGGTCACTGAATACCAGGCATAGCAGGGATACAACAAAACACTCTCTGAAGTGTGGAGCACAACTGGAGGGATTTTAAGCAGTGTTTCATGCTGCACCTTCAAGCCACAGGTGTCATCAACACTGGAGGTAGGCAGAAAATATTTTTATTTCTGTATGTATCTGGTTCTGACACTCATATGCTTAACTGTTCCCAGCTAAAGCAGGAAGGAAAGCTGCTTATAGAACAAACACTGTGGATTCTCCATTCCATACAAAAAAATTTGAAATGTACAAGACTTGAGAGAAGTGAAAACATGGAAGAACTTACTACTGAGGTAAGGCCATACAGTAGATTTTATTGTGAGTCCTTCACAGAAATCCGAGAAGATTTAAAGGCTAGTAATAATCCTCATTTGGTTTCAGATACCAGATGTTGCTGTTTCCCTGAAAGATTTGTATAGACTCCTCTACAGCCATTGGAGAGAAGGATGATTTCCTGGAACATGAATAATCATTTTAGAAATCCACTTTAGAGTAGGTTGACCTACTCCCTAGAAGTGCATATTTTGTTTAATTACACAGTTTAAATTACTAACACTTTTGTAGATATCCTTGCTGCACTGTTCTCATTTGACCAGCTAAGTCCACCCTAAAGAAACTGTTGGAAGAGTCAGGAATAATCACTTAGGAAGCCATTAGGATTTGGCAAGAAAAGGAAGGCACAGGGATGCTAATGGAATGATTAGTGCTCTGATTCATCGGGTATTGGGATTATCACATCTGTGATACCTATTTGCAAGACAGAGCCCTATCACGAGGTCACCACCCTCTGGCCCTGATTTCACCAGTCTCAGAATCATAGAAGAGCTTGGGTTTGAAGGGATCTTAAAGATCATCTCATTCCAATCCCCTGGGGTGAGCAAGGACATCTTCCACTAGACCAGGTTGCTCAAAGCCCCATCCAGCCTGTCCTTGAACACTTCCAGGGATGAGGTATCCACAGCTTCTCTGGGCAACCCATTCTAGTGCCTCATCATCCTCACAGGGAAGAATTTATATCTAATATAAACCTGGTCTCTCTTTCAGTTTGAATCCATTGCCCCTTGTCCTCGCTGAGGAAATTTTGAGCCCGCCTGACCTGCCCAGAGCGTCTTGAGGCTTTGGACATAAAGAAACAGGACATGAGACTACTACTACTAAAGAACACATGTGGCAGCAGGCCTGAGTCCCACAGAGGACTGTAAAAAAACATATTCCACAGTATGTGTCAGGCCTGTGTGCAACATGTGAAAAAAAAGATGCCAAAACAAGAATTATGGTTCATTGCTTTGCAAATGTTTACAAACACAGTGTAGGATGCACTGACAACTGGGGGATTCTTTATAGGAGGAATGAAAAGTGTTTCTGCAGGGCAGTTTCTGCAGGAGAAAAGGAGGCTCAGGGACGACTTTATTGCTCTCCTGAAAGGAGGGTGTAGCCAGGTCCGGGTTGGCCTCTTCTCCCAAGCAACTAGTGATAGGATGAGAGGACACGGCCTCAAGCTCAAGGAGGAGTTTCTTCATGGAAAGGGTTGTTAAACATTGGAATGGGTTGTCAGGGAGCTGGTGGAGTCACCACCTCTGAAGGTGTTCAAGAAACAACTGGATGTGGCACTCGGTGCCCTGGTCTAGTTGGCAAGATGGTGATTGGTCAAAGGTTGGACTCAATGATGTTGGAGGTCTTTTCCAAC